ACGGCATCGATGCCATCTTCCAGAATGCGGACTCGCGAAGGCTCGAGCTCGAGTGAATGCAGTGGTCACCACTGGCCATTCAACTATCTTCTTTGTGTTCACTTCGGGCCCATCACTCTCTCTTTTGCGGATTGCTTTGATTGGGGTTGGAGTCAAATCGAATGGAAAGGAGCGCTATCTCATATTAATATCATCAACTCCAATAGATCAACCATTCGGGCGCTTCATTCTTTCTTTATTCTATTCCAAGATAGCTTAAGAAGCATCTGCATCTCCGGGATCCCAACCAGCAGTCAAGAAGAGGATGAAGCATTCTTGAACGCTTTACTTTCGTCCGACCTCCACTACAAATTTGACTTGCCTAATTTGGAATGTCTGACAATCGATAGCTGCATTCCCTTCCACTTCTTAACACTATTTCGGGAGGCTGTCTCGATTAGATTACTCATCTTTGAAATCGACACCCACATCACATTACAACTTCTCAAAGAACTAATGGATGACCAGAATCCGATCTGGCCAAACCTGAGACACTTTGGTTTTGAAATGCACGAAAGGATCCTTACTGATGATGAAGTCGAAGAACTGATGGTGTATGGCTCGAGACGTGGGGTTGACGTGGTCTGCGATTACGTAGGAAGAAGCCTAGAATGGGAACCAGAAATGGAGGAAGATGGCGAACAACTGATGGACGAGCCACTGTAGCAAGCTACACTTCGTGTTCATTAGTGGCAAACAGATGGTCAGATTCTTAATACCTCTGTTGGCTGTAGCTGTAAGATGAATTCAAGATGACTCCAGCTGGGCCGGGGGGATGCTCTTTTTTTTCAAATCTTATCTTCTTGATTGCTTCCTATTATTATCATTATTATTTTAATATTTAACATACCAGTTGAACTGCTTGAATCTTTACTGCATTGATCACTTCAATTTTCAGCAAACTTCGATTTTGAAAAAGTACCATCAAAGCAAACATCTACAGACCTCAATCCATGGAGACTGTACGGTCTCCATGGCCGGGAGGTATTCCTCTCGGACACGGGGTCTGTACAGTCTCCATGCCCAAGAGGCATTCTTGTAACAATGTTTTGTTATCTTGCAGTCTGGGTGTGAATTTCGTTAAAGATGCTGTTTCTTTATCGATGATGTCATGCACAGTGCATTTTATTTTTAACTTCGATGACATATTATTCAAATCGACAATTGTCATTTCTCTCTGTTCAATGACGTATTAGATGATCGAAGATCTTTCCGATCATTGTAGGTTAGATTTTATTATATACAGCCAAACCGAGAAAGCTTGCGTCTCGGTTGGCGGAAGATTCAAAAATAAAATAAAAAAAACCGACTGCAGTCGGAATTTTTGGAAGAATACAGCACCCTGTATGGCCATTCAAATACAGGGGTTACTTCAGGGTAAAATCCCTATCTTTTTTCTCCCTCAGTTCCAGGTCATGAGAGTAAGACCATCGGGATCCTGAGGGAAAGTTTAGTCAAACCGGCCCATTGAGATGCGTGCCACCCATGCCCCTGCCCCCCCTAGGGCTGGCTGGTTGGCTCCGGTGTGGTCCTGTTGGCGCTACCGGCAGGTATGTTGGAACCTGTACGATGGCTGTATTCTTCCAAAGATTCCGACTGCAGTCGGGATTTTTTTTTTCTGAATCTTCTGCCAACCAAGACGCAAGCTTTCTTGGTTTGGCTGTATGTTGTCATCTCTCTTGTTCCTTGTTGTTCTTCTTTCCTCTTCATCTCGATATTTCAAATTCTATTCATCATATTTTGTTATTATTTATTATTACAATTAAAAAACATAAAACATCATTATAACTATCTTACATCCCCTTTCTCCTAGCGGTGGCCAGAGAACTCGGATTCTTTAAATATCATCTCTAAGCTTTCAGCGAGATTACCTCTCGGTAAATCTTCACAGCTACTAGCGGAATAGAGTAATAGATTAAGCCTCACAGTTACTCACAATTCTCCCGGTGTAAGACTCAAAAGTGGTTGTGAGAAGCCTTTTTCTGAATGTTGAAGGGTATGGTGGAGTTGCAAACTCTGCCCTTCTGTACTATCAGATAACAAGACCCACCAAGCTCAGCTTGGCAAGTTTTAATCAAGTGATAGGGGTGGTTGGTTCGAGAATAAGTTGTTTGATCGCAATTTAATAGTGTGAGAAAAGAGGTTTTGAGAGTATGAGAGTGAGTTTAGTGTGTATTACAATTGTAAGTGTTGTTATAGGGTGTTATAAAGGTTGTTACAGTATGTAATGTTAATGGTATGGTATGTAATGGTAGGGGGTATGTAATTGGTGGGTACTAAACTGGGGGGAAAAACAACTGGGAGGAGAGCCTCCTTAAATACACAAAGGTGAGGGATTTTGGCTCCAAGGGAGCAAGAGAATGAGAGATTTTAGCTGGCCAGAGCTTTACAATGAGGGGATTTAGCTAGTCAGGACATGTACATGAGGTATTTTGGCTGGTTGAGCAACCTACATGATGTCATAAGAGTCATTTTAGCCTGAACTAGAAGTCTACATGAGGGTTTTATGCTGGTGTAGCATGCTATATGAGGTGATTGTACTAGTCTGCAAACTAAGATGGGGTGATGAAGATTACATGAGTGGTGTGAGATAGTGTGACAGCTGCAAGGAAGAATAACAAATGACATGACAGCCTGCATGATGTCACTTGTAAATCCAGAGTGGTACTACACTAACACTGCATGTGTCAATATGTCAGAAGATGGTGGAGTGGTGTGTGTACTTATGTACTATGCTGGTGAGAGAGTGTAGTTGTCCTGCAATGTGCATATGTATAGTGTGTGATGTGTAATTGTTGATGTGTTGGTGGTGATTGAGTGTTGACATGTTGTTGAGGTGTGTAAGTGAGTGGTGTGAGAGTCCAGAGGGTGTAACTTCCAATCCAGTTGAGTTCCAGTGACGCCTCCAGTGGTGACCAAGGGTGAAATTGAGTGTAGAATCCATTTCTTGAGCCATATTGAGTGATTGGTGAGTGTATGTAGAGGAAAAAATAGGGATAAAAAAGAATAATAAAAAACTTTGAATTTTTACACATTCAGCTACCACACCGGCCATGAAGAGTTGTACGTGGGCGGGTGGGATCTCTCCTGGCCATGGAGACAGTACAGGCTCCATGGCCGAGAGGAATCCATCTCCGTCATGGAGAATGTACAGACCCCATGCCCGGGAGCTGACCCCCAGAAAAAAACCCCGCGGAATCAAAGTCCAACTCCAACTCCCAAATCTACGAGGGTTTCGGAGCCGCCCGATCCCTAAGTTGGGTCCTGGCGATAGGCCGAGGACATTTTCATCTGGCCTGGCCAACGTCTCCCAGAGATGCGAGTCGGAACTGATCTTCTCTCTGAGAGCCAAAGCTCCACCTAAACATGTTTTCCAACAAAACTTAAAATGAACTTGTTATGTAAATACAACTTGAGATTATGTCAGTGGGCACAGATCCCTCCTTTGCCGTCGTCCA